GGTGCTGACCAGGCTCCAGGGCGCTGGAGACAGACCTAGTTAAATGAGAACAAACCGCCAAAACCTCCCTTCACTGACAGTGCAGGGCTGAGGGGGAGGCAGGGGGAGTCCTGTCCATGTTAGTGCAGGCATCGCTGCGGGCCAGAAGCCTCCCGCCCCTCCTCCGTTCAGAGAAGTTTCCAGGCGGTAGCACCTGCGTGGCTGCCATAGTTTTGCACGCTCCATTGACCGAGGACTACCCAGAGTCTGGACAAGCTGAACAAGGACTCCCTCCCATCATTTGCTTAAGGATTTAAAAGAAAAAGAAGAAGGAAAGAAAGAAAAAGACAGAAGAAAGACCCACTGGTTCAGTTCAGGCGATGAGCGCCTTTGGTAGCTTTTGGCAAAAGACATGCCCCCGGCAGGCCCACAGAGCCTGCTGCTTGGGAGGGAAACGTGCCAGGGGCCTGTTGGCTCAGGCCTGAGGGGCTGTTGGACCAGCAGGATGGAATCAGGAAGGCGCCCGGCCTCTGCAGGGCAGAAGGTTGGGGGGGACTACCTGCTACCCCCCCGGGGGTCATGGCCGTGGCGCCCTGGGCCTGCCAGGAGTGCCCGCAGGAAGGGCCATCGCCATGGGCAAACGGACCCTGGAGAAGCCCCATGCAGTCCAAATGCAGCGCCTCTGTCCACACAAGTGTAGTCTACTGAGCTTGGGAGCCGATCTGACCCCCTGGGAGCTCACAACCAAACGTGTGCAGATGAACCCAGGTCATGTCTGACATCGTTAACGCTAGTGTCGGTGCCAAATGTGCGAGTGCATGGCTGACACAGAGAGGACTGTCACACGCACCCTGCCTCTGCTTGTGCTGGGGGCCGATCCCCTCCCATCTCCTCAGGAACTTCTTCCACTTTCTCAACTGCTCCTCATTCACATCTCCAACTCTCCCTCCCCCGGGTTCTTGCCAATGAGCACTTAGACAAGTTTAACTCTCTCAAAGCAAAACCTAAACAAAACCCTCTTCATCTCTATGTCATCCTCTCCTCCTCCACTCCAACCCCCAACCCCCAGCCTCCCAAAAGTGTTATTATCTTCTCCTCCTGACCTGGAAGACTCGGGTAACAGACTTTTACACCTTGTTTTCTCTGTCTCCTGACATGTGACCTCTGACCCCACTGCCCCACAGTTCCATCCAAGCACCCCAGGACCTTCTGTGTGGCTACACCCAGTGAGCACGTCACCCGCAGTGGTTCCTATGTCATGTGACCTCTCTGCTGATTTGGATGATGGTGACCACTGCCCCCTCCTGAAACCCCTGTCCCCTTGTTTTCTTTGCACTTCACCTCTCCGGTTCTCCTTTATTCCCAGTCTTTCTTTCCAGCCCCATGCACCGACTCTTGCAGGCCTTTTTCTTGGGTGCTCTGCTCCTCTTCCTGGTACTCAGCAGGGTCACCCCGTCCACCCCTATAGTCTCAGCCACCACCAGCATGGGGATGACCCCAAACCTCTCCCTCCTCCCGGGCATCCAGGGGATCAGTGCTCTCTGGATCCCCACACATGAGGGCCCAGGACCTTACACACAACACAAAGCAAGTCATCATTTCATCTCCCTATTCTGCCTCCTCCCGGAAAAACAACCCAGACCTCCTGCTGTCCCTTTTCAGTTTCTTATCACCATCTGTGCAACTTCCCAAGAAAGAAAACTGGAAATCATCCAGGGACTTGGCTTTAAGGATTTGAGTTCAGGGGGGGCTTAACAGAACCCCAAAGAACACGGGCAAACTGGAGGCCCTGGCCCACACAAAGACAGCCCTCTCACCCACTGCTCTCATTGGTTCCTCAGGATGGGGGACAGATTTTAGTCAGAATACTTGGAGCAAGAGTCAGCCCCACTCCTTCCTCCCAACTGCAGGGAGAGGCCAGCCAGAGATAAATTTAAATCTCTCCACCCTCTGATCTTCAAAAGGGAAGCACTGTTTCCCCCCAGTGGCAAACAGGAGGCACTGCAGCTCCTTTACCAAGGCCAAAGGTCAGCTAAGTAGAGACTCCTTTATCTTACCAAGGATTCTTTCTCCACTTGTATGTATTAAGGAAACAATCTCAGTTCTCCTTGTTTTGAAATAAAATAATTAAGTCCCAAAAATCAGTATTATAAGAAAATAATTTTGTTATTTTTATGTTTGGCAATACAGTGTTTCCTTGGTCTCCATGGGGAATTGGGAGACTCAAACTCAGTGGTTGCTCAAGTCCCTTACATAAAATGTAGTATTTGTATGTAACCAGCACGCATATACTTAAAATCACCTCTGGATTACTTATAATACCTAATACAATGTAAATGCTATGCAAATAGTTAATGTTCTGTATTGTTTAGGGCAAGCATGTCAAACTCGCAGCCCGCGGGCCGCATGCTTCATTTCTTTGGCCTGAGTTAGCCTTTGAGTTTGACATCCTGGGGTTAGGGAATAATGACAAGAAAAAGGTCTGTCCATGTCCAGTGAATTCACAACCTGATATCAATATTCAGCTTACTGAATACTGCAGAGATTCCAAATGAGTCACCTCATGATACGCCTCTGTGATTTGCAGATTATCTAGAGCTAACAGTCAGCAAGAAAAAGGGGACCTCAGTCCCACAAGAGCGAGAAACTGAATCCTGCCAACAATCTCAAAGAGCTTGGACGAGGACATGAGCTCCAGCCCAGACTGCAGCTCTGGTCAATGCCTTCACTTCAGCCTCCAGGACGCTGAACAGAGGCCGCCCAGCAAACCCATGTCGACTTCTGACCAGTGGAAACCACAAGATAATACATGGCTATTGTTATCAGGTGGTAATTTGTAGCAGTAACAGAATACCAAAACACCAGCCAGTATTCATCCCTTGCACAGACGCTGTTATGGGGAACCTAACATGGCTAGGACCTCACGTTACCCCAAGGTTAATAGTAGAAACAGAACGATTCATTTTGAATTGTCCTAACCTATATTCTTTCAAATCTCCATGCCTTTTCACTTGCCATTCCTGGGTGAACTCCTATTCAAACTTCAAAACCCAGGTCAAATGTTGCTTCTTCAAAGAACATTTCCTTACAGGCAACCCAATCCACTTCCAAGCAGAATGTAATAATTAATAATACTATTATCTGCTTCCAAGGCAGCAGCTTATCCATAAACCTACAAAACACTTGCCACGATGTATCGTGAAACCTGCCCTCCTCCCAGCCCCCAACGGTGAATCTTTAGGGCAGCACTACCCCAGTCTCCTGCCCAGTGCCTGGCATATAGTGGCTGCTAAATAGTTGGCTATCCAGGGAAGAAAATGAGGCTCACAATCCACACAGGCTTTTGACGCCAAGGAGCCGCTGTTTTTTCCACATAGATGATCAGGTCTCAGGTATTAATAGAAACCCAGAAAGCCTTCTCCATGACAACGGCTGGGTGATGAACCTAGCACTTACTGCACTAAAAGGGCAGATATTTACTGTCTCCAAAGAGCTGGTCAGAAATGGAGAGGGGCGCTTAAAGCACCAGATGGCATGAAGCCTTTTCTGATTCAAGCCCTTTGCTAGGTTGCTATGCTTGTTGATTCACATCATCCATGCTCATCCATTTCACAGTTTAAATGTCAGCCAAAAGAGACAAGAACTCCACAGAGCTAGTTTTACTCAATGGCTTCAAACGATGGGTAACAAGCCAGAAGTGAGAACTGTATATTAACATTATCCACAGCACTCATAGGACTCCATGGCAGAAAGCATTTTTAGGAGATTAAAAGTTCAGGTAAAATTATGTATCATAATCCACAGGGAGCAGCATTTGCTGGGTGTGTGTATTGAGAAAGCTCAGGGAAGTCATTTGCATTGTTCCTAGGACCCACTCCCTGCAGTTAACCTTCTGCACTACCCATGCTACTGTGTTAGGGCTCCAGCTCAGCAGAGATCATTTCGATTCGGGGAGAATACAAAGCAGGCATGGAGATGAGGGGTCTCTCCTGAGAGCTGGATTCCGATTTTCTCTGTAAATAAGTCACTCAACAACAAAGTGCTGCTTTTCAATAAAAAGTATTACAACCACTTTGCCAGACAGAATTTCTGGGAAGAAATGGTCTTGCCACACAAAAACAAGTAAACATTTTGTTATGTTTTTAAACATTTTTTAACAGTTTCTGACATAAACTCTTAACTCTTAACATCAGTGCCTCTTTGGGCTCTTTTGGACTTATATGACGTCATCCCTAAGAACCAAATTGGAGCCTGCAGGTCCTATACTTGAAAATCCTATCTAATAAAAGAGTAATATGCAAATTGACCATCACTCCAACATACAAGATCAAGATAGCTGCCCCCATGTGGTCAAAGATCCTACCCCCATGTGGACAGAAGATGGCCACCACAAGATGGCCAGCAGGGGAGGGCAGTTGAGAGGAACCAGGCCTGGAAGGGAGGGCAGTTGAAGGCGATCAATACTGGAGGGGAGAGCAGTTAGGGGTGACTAGGCCGGCAGAGGAGGGAAGTTGGGGGCAAACAGGCTGGCAGGGGAACAGTTAGACATCAATCAGGCTGGCATGGGAGTGGTTAAGGGGTAATCAGGCTGGCAGGAAGAAGCGGTTAGGGGCAATCAGGAAAGCAGGCAGGCAAGCAGTTGGGAGCCAGCAGTCCTGGATTGTGAGAGGGAGGTCCGACCCCTTGAGAGGTCCCAGATTGGAGAGGGTGCAAGCTGGGATGAGGGACACCACCACCCCATTCCCTCCTCCCCCCCGCCCTGCACAAATTTCATGCACTGGGCCTCTAGTCTTTTATAAGCAGCCAGCTGGGAACACAACTTCCCAAAGATCAATCAGTATGGGGAAGGCCTGAGCTGAGTGCCAGTGTTTCTATGGAGCTGACACAGGACCTATATTTTCATGTGGATGTATACATGTACATACTGTGTAGGGTAAGAAGAACGGGAAAACGGAGAGAGGAAGCAGAGTTTCTTCATATGTACTAATGGCAACTCCAGAGTGGCGGAGCACAGTACATACCTTCGATGCTCTGTGGGCCCACGAGATTCATGGCCTGGTGAGCTGGATACTCCACCCGCGGCCTGGCAATGCCCAGCTGCTCCATAACACCATGGAGCAGCCTCTGCATGTCTGTTTCTGAGACCCGATCGGGACTCCTTGGGCTATAGGCAGATGTTGAAGTCCACCCAAATGTCAACCAAAACACCAGGCCAGGTAGCATGGTGGAGACCATCCCGGAGACCATTTTTAACCTGCAGAAATCAGATCAAACAGTATCCATCGGCCAATTGGCAACTATGATGATGTAATCATGTGAAGTACTAATTTGAGGACCACCTAGAGAGGGGAAATTCTAGGAATCTGCTTTTGCCTTAAATGTCCATTCCAGCTGGGACGTCTGCTGTGGGAAGGTGTTAAACAAACCAAACAGTTCAAGGAGCCGGTTCCTCCTGACGTGCCTCCTTGGGAAGATCAGGCAGGAATGGCAGTTCTCAGTCATCTTTTACCCTTCTTGCAGCTTCCTGCAAGCTGGGCAGCACCTTTAACCCTGCCCCCCTCTTCCTCTTACTAAAACAAACAACAAAAAATTAACTTGTTCCAATTTTGAGAAAGGGAGAGGGACATCTTGAGTCTCGGGTGGGGTGGGGTGGGGGGGAGGTGAGGGAGTCTCAAAAAGAGGGTAGGAGACACGGATGGTAAAGAATCACAGGAAGGCTAGATGGTGGAAGGAGAACTTTAGCTTAGCAGACATCTAATACATTGAGATCCTGAGAGGGAATAAAAACAAACGCTGCTCAGGTCTGCCCTGCAATCGGGAAGGAGAGATGAGGCGAGCTTGCTCTGTCACATGCAAAATTGAGTGATTTGGGGCAAAATCCTCAGTTTTCTTCTCTGCAAAAAGGGGATGAGAAAAGCATCTGGCTTATAGGATTGTTGTGAGCAAAAGTGTGGGAATACCTGTAAGGAGGACTGGAACCATGCTGGGCACAGAACCCCTACATTGCTGTATTATGTTGGCGATATTACCTCATGGTTCTGGGCTTAGAATCTAGGCAAGGGAGTGATGCCAGGGAAGACGACAGGTGAGAGAGGGAAAAGCTAATCTGCGGAGTTGCTGTCCTAAATGTCAGTAGAGCCTGAGGCCTGCAGAACAAGGGGACACACATTCACACAGCTTCCCTCTGGAGCTGCTGACATGCAATCCCTTTCTTTTTACATTCTCTATGCATTTCCCCCTGAAATGGAAACATTCATAACCCTTATCTTTTTCTGTATATAAAAAAAAATGCCTTTTCTAGCAACCTCTGAACACAAAACCTGTTCCCCAAAGAGCAAAACCTGCCATTCTGGCAGAAAGGCCAGAGGCAGATGCCAGCTGCCCAGCCATCTCCATCTTTCCCTCCTCAACACCGAATGCAGAATTCTTTGTTTCATTTACACGCCAGCCAGCACAGTTCTGGTGTGACGAACTACACAGCCCCCTCCTTTGGTACCCCTTCCCTCCTGTCTGTAGCCGAACCTCCTAACCCCGCACCCATCCTTTGTCTGCCCCCAGACCCCCTTCGGCTCAAAGATTTCAGGACGCCCTTCCTGAACCCTCCGGTCCGTGCGGGGGGGGGGGGCTAGGAAGGACCATTCCCAGCGCAGGACTCACCCTGGGGCAGAGCAGCCTGCGCGGTCCGGGCCTTGCTGGGGGTCGGCAGGGAGCGGCGGTCTGAGGCTCCGGTGCGTCACACCTCTCTCCGCATCGTGGCTCCGCCCCGGCCCGCCCCCCGGCAGGTGGAGGCCGCCCCGCAGGCTCCCCAGAATGAGCCAGATGCTGGGCCTCCCACCCGGAGCCACACAGCGGTCCATCCATCCGAGCACCCCACAAGCAGGGCTCCTAGGTCCTCTCCATAGACCCTTATGGAAGTAACCCACCGTTTCTCATGCCATTATCTCAACAATGTGATAGGTCTCCACTGTGTACTTTGCCCCAACAGCACATCCTTAATTCTGCCACCTTCTGGCATTGTGTATGTTTAAGCCTTTCAGCTTCAAGAAAGGGGACAATGGTAGGGGAAACACATGTGAAGAGTCTTAAGAACTTTTAATGATGGCAACCACAAGGTAGAGTGTATCTTCAGGGTAAGGTGCTTTCAGGAGTCCTTTCTTTGGGAAACAGGCTATAAATAGAAAATGCTAGCAATGTCTGTTAAAGTACTACACTGCAAACACGGGGAAACCTCTAGAAACATGAGTTTTGAGTGTTTTCAACTTACACATAAATTTCCTTGAAGAGATACCAAATTCCCAGCACATTGCTGAGAGGTATCCAGGTAAACACAGATTTTTAAGCTTTTACAGAGCAACCTTGAACATTTGAATTTTGTTAAAATGCAAAAATTAAAATGTAAAACTACACAATAAGTATTGTAATTTTTTTTCAAGACTGGGAATGATGAATATACCTGGGTTCTGAGAAAGTTTGAGTAACTTGTTGAGTGTAGAATCCAGATCTCTTTACCCTAGCTCAAACCCATGATCACCCACAGCAATTGCACGAGATGCTGAGGGGGACACAAAAATCACTGAAACACATGGCCTCTTGGTTTGAAGCCAAGCCTCCGTCCTAGGCTTTTCTTCCATGGACAGTCCTTTCTAGCCTTTTGTTCCAGGGTATACTCAATCAAAAATACAAAGATAGTTTATTAGTTCTAGGTTCAAAGGCCAAGCTGAGGGTTTAATATTTATTATTCACCCATACGTTTTTTTCAATTCTGAACTTTACTTTGATATTGTTCAGTTATCTTTATTTTGTGCTTGGAAACATGGAGTTATTACAATTTACTGCTTTTTTGATTAATGGAAATTTGATTGCAATACACCAGTGTGCACACTGCATAAAATCTGAAATTTTAAAAACATCTACCACACACACACGTGTGTTTTATATATATATATATTTATATATATATAAATGAAATCTCCTAGGCCTGATGATTATCAAATTCCTATATTAAGCTCTGGCTGGTGTTGTTAAGTGATTAGAGCATCAGTCGGGATGTATGCAGGCGGCTACCAATTGATATCTCTCACACTAATGTTTATCTCTCATCCTATCTTTCCCTTTCTACCTCTCTCTAAAAATCAATGGAAAAAATATCCTTGGGTGAGGATAAAAAAAAAAAAAAAAAATCAAATTCTTAGTGATTATGTATCCAAGCAACCTAATTTAGTTCTATGTAACTGTATTGTTTGCTGCTCATAATAATCAAACTAATATTAGATCTTTACTTGTAAGAACAATGAAAATTATCTTTGAAGTTAATGTACATTGGTTCTCGGGACAATTTGCATATTAGCCATTTATTATATAGGATATACATTCAGTGGCTAATCATTATGCATTCAGAGATCATAATAATCTGGGCCACTCAATGTAGATTTGCTTAACAATTATGCACTGAGATCATTTGACTTTTATCATTTGATCAAATATCCCATGACATTGGGAATATTATTTTGTGTGTGAGGTGGGGTAGGGGACAAAAAAAGAAAACCCCAGAGATTAAATCAAGTCTAAAACTCAAATTTCCTGACTGTTTATCTCCAAGTACCTACCATACCTCCAAACTATGTGGGTAGTTTTTTTTTTTCTTTCTTATTGTTTTTAAAACCTCATTATTGATTCATCTCTCAGAAAAACCACTAATTCAGATGATTTCTACAGTTAATTTCCTATGCCTTTTTATCTAATTAATCGTCCAATGCAACAATTTCATCCCCATGAATATACTAGGAAAAAGGACATTAATGCATTTTTAAGTTTAAAAATTTCTTAGAACCAGACAATATATATCTCAGGGATTATGAATATTTTCTATCTTCACTACTATGTAAATACCATAAACACTGAAATGCACACCCAATAAACACTACAAACCTGTTATGATGTCAGATAAACACCATGTTTATATGTACAGATTTTTAGTTTTCAAATAAGTCAAATACTTACTAGTTCTGAGAAAGGGTTGAGTCCCAGGTAATGAAAAGACAGGAAATAACTTTGAAAGAAGAGATGTACTGCTATCACATAGAACTCGGTGAAGCAAACATCATTCAAAGGCCTCATACACACACACTGTAAACCTGGTTGCTGAGTAGATGTGCAATGCTGTTCTATTCTGCCTCAACATCTGAATGTGGCATTCTAACAACTGACCTACAAAACTATCTCTAGTGGTCGATTCTGTCTGCATATTTCTTCCTCTAAAATTCACAGAATGTCCTCTATTGTTAATATTCCTTGCCTTAAATATTTGTAACTTCTAATTTAAAATATATACACCGATTGGCCAGATTATGATGAACTCTGAACGCATAAAAATCTGGCCACTCAGTGTGTGTGTGTGTGTGTTTATAATATATACAGTATATATTAGAGGCCTGGTTCATGAATTCATGCATGGTGGGGTCCAGCCAGCCTGGCCTGGGGAAGGGGACATGGGCAGTTGGCCTGCCTGTGTGCTGGGTGAACTCTTGGTCAAGGGGACAATTTGCATATTAGCCTTTTTATTATATAGAATATACATTCAGTGGCCAGACTATTATGCATTCAGAGATCATAATAATCTGGCCACTCAGTGTAGATTTGCTTAACAATTTAGGTCAAATTCTAAAAGGTACTTTAAATTTCACTAGAATCTTAGGCAAGTCATTTTTCAGGAAGTTATCTTTAATATCTATGCTAAATAAATAACATTTACACACAAGACAAACCACCATGGGCTTTTGTATAAATTCAAAGTATAAGACTCCAAGATAGTGAGCACACAGTGCAATATACAGGTTTTGTAACATAGAAATATACACCTGAAACCTCATATGTTCATGTTTACCAATGTCATCTCAATAAATTAAAAAAACATACAAAAGAATCCAAGGTAAATGTGGAGGTTCATCAAGTATTTCAAAGTCTAGAATCAACCACCTGCATATAAGAAATCACCTTGATTAAAATTTTCAAGCTTATTTATTCCTCAATTTTAAAGTCTGCATTGGACAAAACAGATATAAATGTATTTGGGCAAGTTATCTTTAAAAATATAGTATGGCTTAAAAGTCATCAATTATTCCTGTAGCAACACTATATAAGCACCCTTAGCATTGCTCTACTTTAGCCACCATTCTTAAGTGAATGCCCTGTATACATCTACAGGCAATAGAAACCTAACTACTTTGCCCCAATAGGAATAAAGAATT